TTGACGTCAGTTTTTCATGCCTCTGTCCTGTTATTGATCATGAATTTCGTCATAACATTGTCAAAGTAGCTGTGGATCCGCACATTACTTTGTTTTTTAAGATAACAAATTGTCAAATTGTCTGCTTTCGCTCATTGACGCATCGCATAAATTATAAATTCATGTGTCTGACCGCTTATTGACAATGAAAATTAGCCAATGAGCGCGAGAGAATTTCTGCAGTTATCGTAAAAATAGTCATTGCGTTGTCACTTCGTTGATTGAAATTGAAAAAATTTTTATTGTGTTTAAAGTTCTATTGATATTTCCTCGTCATTTTCTACTCCAGGAACAAAAATTAACGTATGGACTACAATTTAATCCAGTATTTCCTGTTATATACGTTACCTTTCTTAGTTTTAATTTGAAAACCCACAGCGATTTCTGAATTGGCTTCCGTCCTCCAATTCCAAAGTCGAAATGAACCTCTCAGTTTTCAATAACACAGCCATTCAAATCTGGGACAGGCGCAGGTAGGAGGCCGGGTAATAAACGCATTTGTGAAAATTCCCCGCCATCTTGAAACAACTGACGACCCGGTTATTCGTCTATAGAAAAAAAACATCCTTACAATCTTTAACAAATGAAGGAAAATATCTGAACAACAACAGGATTTTCTCACCAAGAGTCTTAGAATCTTTCAATACAAATTTCCCATCGGGACAAATGAAAAATAATCTAGTTAAAAGAAGCGATATTTCCGACAACGATTGCTTACATGACTTCCTTGAAAAAACAAGACTTGTTTGAAGCTAGGCCATAAATACGTGTTCTTTCGCAAGACGGCATGCAAGGACGGTGAAAAGAATTGAATTGCTGTTTTTTTTCTCAAATTTAACTGACGAACATCTTTAGTCCTCTCAGCGATCGATCGCTTTTTTTTTTTAAGTACTGTGCGGTGATGAAATTCTATTCCTAAGGTAATCAGTTCTCAGGTTTTCTTATGCAAAAACTTCCTCTTGTATAGGAACAGTAATTCAGCAGCTGTGAAAGCTCTCTGTAGGTGGACTAAGCCTATATTCCTTAAGAAAATTAAACACGTTATTTTTACGCAGGAGGAAAGACCACTCGACAAAGTGGAAACCTTGACAACTTGCTATTGATTTATTAAAGTTCGCGGTGTGATTTTCGGAAGTTAAACAAAATAATAATTTCTTAAACGATGAATTAATCCTTGATTGGTCGTCAGTTTTCAGGCACAACTACAAAGGCGAACACAAACACAACTTTTGAACCCTCACACTACATCACCGGAGAATTGCTGGGCCTTGATGCAAAAATATGTCAAAATCAAAGAATTCCGTCAGTTACCATTTGCTTAAAAACGATCCAGAACCATCACCACAAACAGGAGATGAAAAAGTATCGATCGCAGAAGAAGATTCAGCTGAACAAAGCGAAGAGACTGCAGGAAAATCTTCCTTGTGGAAAACGGTGGTAAACCTTATGAGTGATATGGAAGGTACCGGCCTCCTGGGTCTTCCGTATGTAATAGCTCACATTGGCTTGGCTGCCATTGCGGCATTACTTGTGGTTCCTTTCATGGCCTTCTATACAGGAGCTATATTGATAGACTGTCTTTACGACAAGAACCATGCAGGCGAAAGAGTGCGTATCAGGTCTAACTACAGGGAACTCGGCGAAGCCTGCTGGCCTCGTTTTGGTGGTGCTATTGTTGCCGCTGTCCAGTTGGTCGACCTCTTTCTTCTTGCGTCTTTGTACCTCGTCTTATGCGCCTCGCTTTCAAGCAGCATTTTTCCTGGGCTACCGCTGTCCGACAAGGTTTGGATGCTCATTGCAGCCGTGATTGGACTCCCGACAATATTCCTCAAGAATCTTTCCCAGGTTGCTTGGTTAAGCTTATTGAGTGTGGTGGCTTTATTAGTGGCTGTCATCGCTGTTTTGGCTGTCGGAATATCACATCACTCCTCGTGGGATATTAAAGACCTCTTAGTTTGGAACATAACAGAAATGCCGGTCGCTCTAGGAATTATAATTTTCAGCTATCTTTCCCATACCGTTTTGCCTGGCGTAGAGGCAAGCATGGAAAACAGATCACAGTTCAACACCATGTTAGCATTGTCCTACACCTCAGTTGCAATCTTAAAGATCGCCTTTTCCGTTTGCGCTTTCTTGCCATTTAGTTCAAATATCCAAGAAGTTATCGTCAATAGTCTTCCCATGGGTGTAATTCGCATCCTTGTCAACGGATTTCTAATCTTAAACGTCTTTTTCTCATACCCTTTCCGGGTCATCACCATTATCCAAACGATCGAAGAATCTGTTACAATTGATTCATTTCCATTCAAAATACCTGATCTAGTTTGGTTTATTGGTATTCGACTACTCATCAATTTTCTGACACTCCTTCCTGCAATTTCCATTCCACACTTCGCGCTTTTTATGGCATTTATCGGCAGTTTCACAGGATCATGCGTGGCGTTAATTTTCCCGCCAATTTTTCATCTTATTCTGAAAAAGGAGGTGTTAAAATTCTATCACTACACCTTTGATATATCAATAATATTCATCGGAATTCTTGCAGGTTTATTTGGGTTATTTTTCACTGGAAAGTCTTTGCTCCAGGTTTATACCTCAAACTGAAAAAAGAGAGATGACCTTGGTCTTAAACGAGCTACGTCACGGTTCCATTGCGCATCTTAAAAAGTTCAGTCTAAATTTTTCAAGTTTGTCGTTTGTAATCCGTGTTAATCTTTTTCATCCTTACCCATCCTTGTTCCTTTATGGTTTATTACTATCTCTTTGGTGTTTTTCTATCTTAGTAAACTAGTACTTTTAGGTTTCCTTCAATTTAAATGTAATTTTGTACGTGGTCAAAATAACTCAAAATATCGTGACTGAGCTCCTTTAATAGACGCACAAGCACTTATAATATCGCGTAGTTTAGGTCATTATAGGGTCACCAAGGTTTCAGGCCGTTTCCTTCTGAAAGCAGCGGTAAGGATGCAATAAAGTCGGGTTTTGTTCCAGAATATGTTCGTGGGTCTTTAGTTACCATGGTTACCATTTCTAAAAATAACTTGAGAGGGATGGCCCATATATGGGCCATTAAGTCTCTCACCCTTCATGCTCTCTTGATTATATGCGTTATATTACGAAACTTACCATTATTGTGGAAAAGTTACCGGAAATTTGCACGATAATTATTATTTGAAGGGACCACCGTGACACGAGACACACAAGACACATTTTGCTCAAAATTAATCTATAACTGACAATTTTATGAGACATTAATACAAGATTACATCCTTCGGTAACAAATAAACCGTTCAAAATTAGAAAGATCTGTTCCATTCAAATTGTTAGGATTGAAGTTTTGTATTTACACTTATTTACAGGTAATAGTTGCGAATGGAAAACATTAAATTTCGGTCGACATTCCAGTCTCTTTAAAATAGTCAACAAACAAAGAAATGTTTCACATTTGGGCAAAGCGCAACACGCACAAAAAATCTTACATAACTTTTTATGCTTTCCTCTACATGTTGATTAAAAAAAAAATCACACCATCAGAAAGCAGTAAACTTAGATTCTGCATCAGCTCAGTGAACAGAAGTAAACTATGCTTCTGGCGACCCTGCATGATAACAGGCAATACCTCGTGCATTTATGAGGCTACCGTGAAGTGCACTACCATTATCATTATGAGGCCAGAATTTGGTTTCTCAAGAGAAAATGATGATTATAATCTCTTGGTTTATAAAATAAAAGAATTATCAAATACTTGTGAAAAAACATTTCCTGGCAAGTTTGACGCGGCATTTGCTCCCGGCCGAGAGACTCTTCAGAGACATTTTTGAACTTAGCGGTGAACTCGCTGATCATCGCACCAAAGTCCGTTCGCAAATTCAAGATGTTAGCATTCTGGCCTTCTATCGCTCAAGGATTCCCAACAGCACGTCCACGGGGAGTCTCTGATCCATAAACTCCGTCTTGCTGTAGACTGTTCCCAGCCCTCTACTTTCTCGTATTTTTATTCGATCGTTGAACACGCGGATAGAATATCGAGAGAACTGGACGCCAGCGCAAAACAGGAGAGTTGACTTGTTGATTTGCTGAAACAAAACTGTTCATACTAGGCCAGTTAACTGATGCATGTGTGGGGGCTACCTAACATGTTCCAGCTGGAAATTATACAGAAATTGCATAAAAGAGCTGTTTTTCATCGGTAAGTACTTGCTGTAGCCTCGTCTCGATGCCGTTCAGGGACGAGCTGCTCAATCCTTTCAAAAGATTAACACTCGGTACAAAACAGTGTGGCAGATCTTTTCTCTTAACACACTCCTGAACGTATCTCAACGCTCCCAGGAACCGCTCACCAAGCTGATCAGAACGCCACTCTTCGCTAAAATTTCGATAATGTAGAAAGGCGGTTTTCAGCAAGTAGAAGGGAAAGACGCGCAGCTTTCTGTCCGAGCTGAAAAAAAACTTGAGAATTTTCAGACATTCCGTGTGGCAGGCATTACCGGAACGATCTAGGGTGGACAGAATCTCTCTTTCCCTCAGCGAGAAGGTTCTCCGCCATAAAACCGAACGCCCCGCGTTACTCCCCAGCTCGAATTTTGTGCATTCTTGAAAGGCGCATGGAACAAAGTAATACATAACTCCAGAGTCGTCTTCCCCTTTGACGCAAGGAATCAGCTGCGCGGTTACAGAGCCTCCCCTGTTAGTGTCCCGGATGATCATCTCGACCGCTGACCCATTCTTATGCGCCCGCACTCTCGCTCCGTCGGAGAATCTCTTGGTGCTTTCGATCCACGCTTGGGCTAGCTTGTCAAGCCAGTTTTGCATCTTATCCGGGCGTAGATAATCATACGTGTCTGTAAACCTCACAAGCTTCGTATCGGCTTCTCCTGTTACCAGCTTTAGCTTCGAGTACAATTTTGGAACGACTTCTTCAACTGTAACATCTTCGTCACCCGTCTTCAAGACAACCATCACTTCAAACTCATTGCTCTTTCTTGTTTCCAGTCTTTCGTACATGCAGCCAGTGTATTCCATGTTACGCACAACCCCAGTCTCTCTCTTGCAGAACTCGAGCAGTTTCTGAGTTTGGCTGTAAACGAGTTGCTTGGCCCACTGGGTGTCGCTAGCTGGCAAACGGACTTTTTCCCGATGGTACTTACGCAGGTTTCTTAGCAATTCCTTCGGTCTTATGGGGTTGACCCTCAGTTCTGGCGCCGAGGCCGCAGAATACAGGTGGTCGGTGGATGTGAACTGCGGGGAACTGGTGCTGAGGGATCCTGAAGCCCTGCTGATGTCGTCAAAAGACTTCGTCACTTGGTCATCTCTAAAACGCAGCGAACAAGATGATCAAATAATGATTCGCAATCCATCATAATCCTCGTCAATTTTAACCATGCATCCCTGATACTTAAAGGGGCTAAGTAACGGTTTGCGCATCTCTTGAAAAATTTAGCGTAAATATTTCAAGTTTGTCGTTTGTCCCAATCCGTGTTAATCTTCTCCATCCTTAACCATCCTTCTTCTTTTATGGTTTATTATTATCTCTTTGGTGTTTTGCTACCACAGTAAACACTATTTTCAGGTTTCGTTCAATTTAAAGTCAATTTTGTGCTTGACTAAAATACCGTGACTGAGCTCCTAAAAACTGTGCAATTGCTACTCTCTCGGCATTTTTCTACCTGTTATAAACTTGGCATTTTCAGGTTTCAAGGCAATTTTAACTGTTTCAAAATAGGCAAAACAGGTATAGAGGGTTTTCCCTCACGTGACCAGCAGCTATGCAAATTCACTGGAACAAAATAAAGTTTTTAGAAAAGAAGAGTTCAACTCCCACAGGATTGGCTTGGGACCCCTACATGACCGCCGTGACGTCATGTGAGAACACTCTGTGGCGAGACATCAAAAGCAAAAACTATTACCTTATCTTCATCGTCGATTCTTGCCCTCCCATGTCTCCACTGGGATTGAATTTTGTCGTGCTCTAAGTAGAAAGTGAATGAATTGTTCATGAAGTTTTATACTGCTCATTATGTTGGCTCAAGCTTTGTAAATAGCCATTATTACCCTAACTGGTGCAAGCGCATTTTTCAGCCAATCACATAGCAGGAAACGGTCCCTGGATTGAGGTTGGAACCGAATAGTCGCCGAGTTAAATCAGATATAGTCTATCCACAGACGTTTATTTTTTGCTACGAGTTATTTTTCCTCGAGCACGCTGAGCAGCCGCGAAGCAGGCGAAAAAAATTGTCTTTCCCTTGGGTCACCCCCTTGTGTTCGGGCTTTTTTCAAATCTCTTTCAATCTCGACAAACTCAAGACAAAATAGAACAAAATGGAGAGTCTGTAGACAGACTGAATCAGACATTACACCGTCAAATTTTGTCGTTAAAAGGTTACATCACGTTTCACAACAACATCTATTCCAAAGGAGGCGCAGTAAAACGAGACAATCTCGTAACTAGGGTCGACCTTAAAGGTCGACACACACGAGGAGACTACTCCCTGCAACTAGTCCCCTGAAGAGTTTACACGAATGGACTGGTCGCACGGACTTGTCCCACGAACAGTTCACACGAAGCGTTTTGAGGAACAAGTCGCAGGGACTTGTCCCAGAAATTCAAACCAGTTTGAATCCGTGGGACTAGTCGCAGGGAACAAACTTTGGTCCCTGCGACTAGACTTTGAAGCAAAATTAGGTAGTCCACTCGATGGGACTTGTCCCCGCGACTTGTTGCAGGGTCTAGTCCCAGGGATTAGTCCCCTCGTGTGTGCCGACCTTTACCCAACGTTGTATCCGTGCAAAGTACTTTAGATCACACTTGAATTAACTATGTGCTATATATATTTTTCTTGTCAATTTTGGATTCAGCGTGTAATAATGGGATTTTCGGCCGTGTTGTCGTCAAATTTAACATTTGCAAAACAAAACCTGTCAGATTTATCACCAGTTGTCTGGACCTATTGTTAGGAAATCTCAGTGGAAACAATGAGTTGGTCAGTCTTCCACGCCCCGCTTACCTTGGAGAATAGCGCCTTCAACTATTCAACAATTTTAGAAGTCGTTTGATTAATAGACGATATTCTAAGTTGCGTGCAAGATAATTTTTCCCGTGCCTCGAGGCTATTAAAACTGACAACTTGAAATATTGTGGAAAATTAAAGACAGTCACACACTTATGTAGAATCGAGATCAGAATTCACAAAACACACTGGTTTTTACATTGAAAGTCATTTCTGAATCAAACAACAGTGCTAAGCGCATAATACGCATCTGGTTTTAGCCATTTGCATTTTAGTAATTTAAGTTTTTGACATGCAAATTTTTCGGAGGCCAGAAGACGGAATCTAACAAAATTACGATGCGTATTGTTTCTTTTTCAAGCAAACTGAAACTGGTTTGAGAATCTCATCTCGACTCTTTCTTTAAAAGCTCATAAAAATGCTGAATAGTACTACTGAATAAACTTTAAGCTTATACTAACAACTTACGTTTACAGTGGTACTTTACAGGCCAGAGCAAGGTCCACCTCGTTTCATCAGTGCTGTAGAAAATTATGAAAATAAACCGAGTCACCGAGTCTAATAAGGGTTGTTGGCAAAAATGCTGCCTTTGCTGGTAGCGTCTCCGATTGACCGAAATAAAACTAAGACACCTGTTCTTATAATAAAGCGCTTGTGTCAATAAAGGTTTCATGAAGAAAGCCCGGCGATTTATTTTGTTTTTGTACTCTGGTTTATAAGCACTCGAGCACTGAAGCCAGAGAACTTTGCCAAACACTGACAAATGAACTCAGAGCGAAATCGTGAAACTCACTCACCAAATATCATTGGCAGTCGATAATTCCACAGATATAGAACACTCACCTGGTCAAATATTAACTTATCAACTCATACTCGCCACTTCTGTTGACAAAATGTTTCGCAGGTATCCCAGAACTCTTTGCGACAAACAAGAAGGCCCGGCCAGGCTTGGTTCCTAAGCAGTTTGTAGTGGAACTTGACGAAGAGGCAAGTAAACTTAAATTGTGGTAGAAGCTTTCCTTTTCACGACGATCTCTGGAGAAATGGATTCCCAAAGAAAGGAGGCGAGAGTTCGAAAAGATCCCTGGGCGCGATTTGAGGCGTGGAGATACCATCCAGCTATTAACAAGCGGGCGAACATGCGTAATTTTCTTCCTGGATTTTGGTGGGGAGTGGGAGCATTTGTCATCGCCATTGGAATTGAAAAGTTGTTTGAAAAACCAGACGATCACGGCGAACATCATTGACACCAATGAATTCTTTACAGCTCAAAGAAATACTTTTACCGATTTTGCGTGGTGAAGAAGTTACTTTATGCATCCAGTGAGAGATATTTTTGTACAAAGGAACCTGGGAAGAACTTTGTTTGCACATCAAACCACTCTTGGAACTCATTCTTCAAATTGGATTAGGACTGATTTCATTCGATGACTTTTGTTGCTGTTGACCTACTTTATTAATCGATAATCAAGGATGATAAGTTCTAACCATGCAAGGGGTACATTACATGCATGTGGGTGGCATAAACTTTGTAACTTAAGTTGTGATATATTTGTATTGTACATGTAAGAATTCTTGTGAAGAAGTGTTAAATTTTGAAAATTTATAGGCTTAAATGAAAGTTTGGTCACAGACATCTCGGCCATTATTTGAATGTAATAAAGTGAGTGACAGAGAATGAAACTGAGACCGATTCAAAGTTGCAGCATTTGCAGTTGCAAATTGGCAATGTGTTATGTACACCTATGAAGAGGTGCCCCAATATGCTTTTTACCACAATTGCTACTAATCTTGTAATCTGATTGGTTTATTTGCCATTTTCGGTAAGAGTCTACACAACGCTGCTCGCGTCAATGTGTCACGCAATGTCTTTTTCAGCTCGCGCTCTGAAAAAAACATTTTCCTTCATGTTGATATTGTGGTTAAAAAACAAATCAAAATGTGGTTTAGCATGGTCTGTACTCTTATCGACAACAATATGCGTCAACACAGTAGTCAAAATTTGTTGTGTCCACAACATTTTGACCACTGTGATGACGCGTGTCATTGTCGATAAGAGTACAGACCATGCTAAACCATATTTGATTTGTTAAATATCAACTACTAGGGCATTTAAATGAATCAACTTGATCACCACTGGTTATGTAGAATGACATCACTCAGCATTCCTAAAAGTAAATACGCACCTTTACCATCTAAATTTTGTGAAGAAACATGAGCTGTTGATTAAGCAGTTTTGTAACATTTGATGTTAAGGTTTTAGTACTCATTGGTTCCCTTTTCATGCAGATTTCCCATCTTTCAATATTGAGATGAGAATTCCAAGTCAATTTTATGCTTGTTTGAATTTCTCATTTGACAAACAAGCAAAGTCAGCAATAATTGCTGATCTTGTAAGTTTATCTGTGTATAATTTGTGCTAGTCCAACATCCAAGAGGACACATGCCACAGATTATGCAAATCCACATAATTTGTATACAGTTTCAGTGGATATAACAAAGACTTTCTATGAAGTAAAACTCCCAATAATTTGAAAGTCTCAAATTGTGATGCCAGATGTTTCATTTAGCTATTTCCCCTATTTATCATCTTCAGTTGTTTAAATATCAAGTTAAAGTAATCATGTATGCAGTTTTTGCATGATTTTCACACCATGTTACAACATAAAAATAGAGGGTATCTTTTTTTAGGGGGGTGGGGAGGAATGGGGAGATGTTGTTCAGTTATCCATTCTCTGGAGGGCATATTATATGTGTTATTGACCAACATGGCTGGATATAAGCCGAGTTCTTTTTTTGTGTTTATAAACTGAGACAGAGTTGGGGTCCATAAACATGCAAAAAAGAACAAGGCCAAATATTATATCCAGCCATCTTAACCAAACAAACTTGGTCAATAAAGGATTTATCATATGGAGAAAGAACACTATCTTTTTGCAATTTATGTTGGGTTTATCCTGAGCAGAAAAGATAGCGCCTTCTTTAGCCTGCGAGCAGGGTCTTCATGACTCAGGCACTTTTCAGGCTTCCTGGTGGGGCAGCCAACCAGGGAACTAGCCATATAATAATGTCATCGGTAACTTTTTTTGTGTGCAGTAGACCTGTCAAGATACCCTGGGCATGTCATACCAAAGTTAATCCGATAATTATGTGCAAGCCACATAAGCACAAAGCAGACTCCCAAGAAAGGGAACAAGATGGCTGGCTTCTGCCTAATCATCATTGATTTCACATTAACTGTTATATCAATCAATAATGTTTTGAGTTTAATAAGTTTGCAATAAGTTGGCAAATTTTCTGAGGATGTAATGATGAGCCCATAGCAGGTTTTGTTTGTAAAATTATAGTGACCTCTATTTTAGTTAACCTATGTCAGATTTAAAGAATAAACAGCTTACAAGTGTAGAGAATGCATATCTAAATTACTAACTTAATAATTAACAATTATTAATGGATTTTTGTGAGAAAAATGATCATTACCGGTACTACTTTAGTGCATTCTTTGGAGGTGCATGAATGTTACTAGCTGTTAAAAACCTGGCAGAAAGAGGGTCAAAAAGATCAGGAAAGATGGGAGAGGAAATAATGCAAAGAAGGCCTCTGAGACAGTGGGAAAAGAGAAGCAAACATCATTGAATAAATTAAATAAATTAATAATAATCCATTACAATTATATCCAGACACTGAGAGGGAAGGGTGCAGAAACTGGGAAATTCAGACCTACCTGGGGTGGTGGTGGTGGTGGTGGGGAAAAAAAGAAAGAAGATTATAGCCAGTCAATGCTGCTATGGGGTACAGTAAACATTTCTCAATCAGGGGTGGAATAAGAGGGGGGGCTGGATTGGGGTGGCTAACTACCCCCCTCTTTGGAGGAGCAAAAAGATAAAAAAAAAAAAAAAAATTGAAAAACTATTAATAATATCATGGATAAAACAAAGGCAATCACTCTGGGCAGGTACCTCATTGTAATTTCTACTTTGGGACATTGCTAGTATTTTTGGTGGAACAGTTTGCAATTAGGTTCCAGTTCTCCAAACCGCATTGTGGGGACATGCCCCATTGATTCTGTAACCCAACAATTCCAGCCACCCCCACCCTACCCTCCTTGAAAACTTCTTTGTCTGCTCCTGGCTCAATAGTTATGATTAAAATGGAAGGGAGAAAATTACATGTTGGTGAGACTGGAATTAGAAAGTGGGAATAACTTGTTAAAAAATGGAGCGGTGACATTCAGGGATGTCATTTAGTGTCTGTAATAGTGAGGGTCCGTAATTGCTGGGTGTGAGATAAAACGTGCCCTTAACATGCAATAAATAACATAGACGATGTCTGCAAAGCAAGGACTATTGTGCAGGCAAACAAAGAATTGATGTGAAAATAAACATTCCAGAAGTCTTGTGAAGTGTAGTTTGACAAATGATGAACAGCAGACTGTAATTTTACATAATTATGTTATATGAGAAGTATGTGGTGTCTGCTTTACTGAGAGTCAAAACAATAAAATTGTCATTTTGGTACCACGAAAGTGTCTGTAATTCCGTAATACCGAGAGTCCGTAATAGCAGGAGTCATTTGGATTTTGTCAGTAATAGTGAGCATCTGTGATAGCAGGGTGTCTGCAAGGCAAAAGTTAACTGCATGTAGGAAAAAAAGTTAAGAAAAAATCAGATAACCAATTTTTGGTTCAGCCCAGTCAAACTTTTCAGCACCTTTTTTCAACGTTACAGAGCCCAATGTCACACAATGACCACATCACTAAACTGAAAACCATGAGTTAACACCTAAATAGAACTAGATCAATATCAGCACAATGTTCATGGAAGTTACATTTACGGATTCACCATTGTACATGTATATTTAAACCTATTTATGCAAGTTATATGCCACAGCATCAGCTCTTGTTTTCTCCCTGCTCAACATATTGTGAAAGGTTCCCAGACAGGTTCATCTGGTTCTGTTCAAGAAGTGTTATAAGTCTCTTTGAGTGCTCAGAAAGCATCTGCAGTAACTGCACATGCTGCTCTGTCAAGGATGGCAGCTTAGAATAATTCACCAGGGCCTTCCTTGAAAGGAGTCGATTGTCAATTTTCCCCCCTAATACGTCCATTTTAGGCTGTTTCCTGATTCCTGACAGAAGGGGTTTGACTTTTGCCTCTTTGCTGTAAGTGACAACCGTTGATGCCAGGAATAGTGGGGTTATTTCGCGGTATGTGGTATTTTCCAAGGCTTTACACATGATTTTGTTAGGGAACATCTTCACCTTGATTTCGTCCTTACCAAGGGTATATCGCAAGTCTTCCCATTCTACAGTATTCATGTCACTAAATTGACAGACAACTACCATGTTATTGGACTCAAAAACATCTCTAATTTGATCTGCTAATTTCAGCTTTTGAGGGCTTGGCTGTGAAAAAAAATAAAAGAAACTATTTTATAATGTGAAGATATGAAGTAATATTTTTTCAATAATTCATACAGAAAAGCAAGACTCTTGGAATTTGACATTCAAATAAGCGTTACAACAACCTAACGATGTAATAACACAATCACTGATGTCAGTAATGTGAACATTGACATACGAGGGGTACCCTGCTGTTCCGCTTCCTGTACTTTGTCTCCCAACTCCCACCCTTGTCCGTCTTGCTCCCGTTCCCTGTAAATAAGGAGGCTCAAAACCCATCCTAGTCATTTAGCTGCGCAATCCTTAGACGTTTCCTTTTCTTTTTTTCCTTTGCTTTTAGCTTAAGTGACAACATTTCATCACCTATGACTTAAACTTTGTAAAAGGATTTCCAATTTTACTGGAAGTAAGCCTCAGTTCTTTTAGCCAAGGGTGAATTTTCGTTTTTCCGTCGGCTCAGAAGTCTCAAAATAGGCTAAAAGTGAGTCAAATTAAATTTTGGGTTCTTGTTTGTGAGAGTATTTTAATGCAAAATAAATGATTCCCACCTTCTTAAAACTCCCACTTCCAGCCCTTTCCTCTACCTCCTCCTGCCCGCTATTCTCCCATGCTCCTGCCCCCCTGTCCCCCTCCACACATTAAGAGTTTTTTTTTCCTTATGTAGTTATGTTCATGCAGTTACAGTGTGTGTTGCTATTACAGTGTATGTCATTATATCAGATGTCAAACATAACGTCCTTCTTCTGTTGGTATGTTTATGTCATTATGTCACGAAGGTGAACTAGGCTTACCCAGTAAAACAAAAGCTACTCAACACTACATGTACTTTCAAGTCATGCTGTTTGTATCTCAATCTCTAGGAAGATAGGCCTGCTCCCAATTTCTTTGCTCAGTAGAAAAATGCGTTAATAGCCAAAAAAATGTTTGTCACCCTTCCCCTCATAATTGTCCACAGCAATGAAGACCCTACAGTACCATCACGAACACCTCCTTAAGGGAAAGCTTGTAATGGATAATCAGACTTAAGCTTAACTTTCATAAGAACATATCAGCGTACCATTACATCAACACCTATAAAGCTCAAGACTTGTTAAAACTTAAGTTAAATTAAGCTATATATAACTTGATTTGTACAAGACTGCAGACGAAATTTAAAATAAATTTTGGTCACAAATTTAGTCAAAACTTCAAAGTTGCTTCTGTTTCATCAAAACTTTTAAACATCAGCAGTAATCACAAACAAAAAGCTATAAAACATGCTTACACTTCAACTGTTAGTCAATATTTTCAAGCGTAGAGAATAAACACGTGCGTAATTTGGAGAACCCTATGCCATAACATTAAACAAGGGTTTCTCGACAAACCTTTACTGTTCTCCGCCTGCTTTTTCCAGCTTTGCAATGTTCAGCCATATTAAATTGGTTTCGGATGGATTCCAACCTTACAGTGGAAACTAGGAGCGGTAAAAGAACGGAGTTAGTTCTCTGTGCAAACGTCGCGACCGCCATGATGGAAGTCGAAGACACATTGACCGTGAGAGAATGGGAAAGAATTCTTGTCCAGTCCTTCGCTTTCATTTCTCCAAAATGGCGTTCAGACGTCTGTGTTTAGATTTTTTTGTAGTTGATTACCCTCTTGTTACCGAGATAGCTTTTTACATATTTTAACATCATGTAATTAAGAGAAGACCGCTTTCTTCAGTAATACGTTCAGTGCGTTTTAGTTTTATTGTTCCCAGCTAAAACATAGGGTGGTTAAATTTTGTGAGACAAAGCCAGCTTTGGGCAAGTTTTTAAGCAATTATAGTAGTATCCATCGGCCTTGATCCAGTCCTTGCTATGGACCTGGAATCGGTAAAAAAAGTTTTAGAGGTGAGTAATAATCAATGGAAATTGTAGAATAGAATAATTTAATTTTAGAACACTAAAACTGATATAATATTGATAAGTAACAATGAGTAGCTGTACACATGTATTTTCTTACAGCAATTTGTTTAGAGCTATTCAACAATCAGATTATGAGCTTGAGGTTTCTTTTACATGTTCGCTGACGAGGGCACAGCCTGAGTCAACTATCATGCATAGAAATTGAGAGCAAATAATCTAATTGCTTTAATATTAAGACTAAATCCAGTAGGCATTCAAAACTTGATCTGAATCCTCTTACCAGACAATTTGAAAATGCAAAGAAGCGAATGCCATTTTGTTAACAACCACACACTGTTAGATTACTCACTATCTACAACAATAGATAATTAGTAGCATAACCATTAAGAGAACGGCATATTTTGTGATAGAACGCTAGTAGTTTTACACTAATAAGGGATATTCTATTTAATCTCCATTCCAAGAAGGACTATGAATATAAAAGAGCTGTGGAAGCCAACAGAAACATATCAACACCCTACCCCCCTCTCCTGGGCAAATCCCAGACATTTGACTACTACGTGTAGATGGACTAGATGTGTCTGGAGGGATGTTAGTTTCTAATTGACTGAAACATAAATGCTGCAAAGTGTTTCATTGTGTGTTGCAGGTTCTTACATATAAACATCAAACCAAATCTGTGGGGAGCAACTACTATAGTATACACTGTTTCATGAGAACAGCAAATTTTTGCCTGGAATTTAAACAGATTTCTAGAAATTGGGATACTCAAAACATTTTGCAAAACTAGTCAATTCTATCAAGTCAATTGGTAATTTATGTTGCAAATTGTGATATAGAATTTTACCATCTAAACCAACTGGTCCGTGGGAGGTGCGATGCCTCATGGTTAGCTCATTCACCCCTGGCCAGGGACATTGTGTTGTGTTCTTGGGTAAGACACTTAATTCTCACAGTGCCTCTCACCACCAAGGTGTATAAATATGTACTGGTGAACATAATGCTGGGGGTAACCCTGTGATGGACTAGTTAGCATCCCATCCTGGAGGGAGTGGAAATACTTCTAGTCACTTAATGCTACAGAAACTGGGATAAGCTCCTGGCTAATGGGCCACTTGACTCATGTGCAGATTTTACCTACCTACCAAGTGGTCTTGTTTTTACCTTTTAGTCTTTTTGCAAATCTGAATCAGCATCAAACATTCAGCATTTGAAGAATGATAAGAACCTTGTGAATGGAATAATTCAGAACTTACCAAGTCTGTATGCACACGAGGTAGGTAAAGAGAATTCCAAGGTGATGAATTTGTAGTATAGTGGAACTCCGTTAATCTAGTCACCAACAGGCCACCAAAATCATGACCAGGTTGACCAGGTGACCATGTTAAAAGGCTTCTGTAAATTATAAGAAAATGATTGACTAAGCATTTGTTTGGGCCAGAATAAAGTGGCAATACTAACAAGGTGGCCGTATTAACTGCAGGGAGGCCGTAAGGTGGGGTCCTACTGTATATTTTTTTGTAGCTGGCCTCGAAGTGTCATAACTTCAATAAGGTGCTACTACAAGAGACAATATTAATTTTGACTGTTTAACTTGTCTCATAACTTTGTTGTGCTCTTACAAGACATATTGTGCAAACTGTATGGGAGAATCTTGACCTCAACATTGGCTGCATACTCATGACCTTGGTCAAGATTTCCAAAATATAGACCTCCCATGGGGTTAATAAGAACTCAATATTTTCATTTGCAGTTGAGTAATCCAGTTTATAACAGTCTATTTGAGTTGTATCGTCAAAGTGGAAGCGGAGGACACCCTTTTGTTCTTCAATTTGTTCCAGTGTTAATATGGACTTACTTGTCAGCCACAACAAGAAGGGATGAGCTGGTAAAAAAAGCCTTTTTAACTTAGTTTGTTATAAGCAAATAAAGTGGGAAAAAGGGAAAGTTTTAACTGTGTGTGTGTTGTGAAAGTCAGGGAATTTTATTTTTTAATGGTAACACGTAACAATTGTCAGTCCAGAACTAACATGGTCCAGAACTAACATGGGACAGTTTTACTGTCATAGTTTCATGTTTGGAACATGTCTCATGAACTAAGGTTTGAAAATATTATTACAAAAAGTGTTGATTGATGATTATAATGACGTGCTGCCAGTGATTTTTTTATTGAGTATAAAAACATACTTGGAAGTATTGCATTTGTAAATTTGATATGAATTTTTTTTTTTTACATATATTTACAATAGGTTTATGGCAAGCTGGAGGCTCTACTATTGGCTATCTACAATGCTGTAAGTTTGTGTGCTATATATAACATAATTATAATTTGAAATATTTTAATTCAACCACAGGCTTGCGCTAAAAATGATCTGTGGTAAATTTATATTTATTTGCATGGAACTTTAAATTAAAAGTTGTACTGATGTAAAACTGGCAATTAAATGCCATTGATGTTTACATCCATTTCAAAATCATGTTTCCGTAGTTACTATAAGTTTTTGCCTGTCCTAGGGTCTGTTTTAGAAGTTAAATTTCATCATTTTCTTAGTTCACTGTCACCTAAAATAATAACACAATAATTACTCCAATGCAGCTTGACAGTCAAGACACAGCACTGTCCTGTAAAACAGTTTTTAATACACTGTAGACAGTTAACCTTTCATCAACATTTTGTTATTTGACAATTACAGGAAGTAGTAAATGAAAAAGGAGAGCAGAAGATCAAGTCATTTAGGTTGCCATCACTTTCAAGACCGTCAATTTACCATGAGGTACAGTTTGTTAAAGTTTGCTGTTGACTTTAGTGCACAGTAGTGTAAGTTTGACTGTATCAAAGCCTGGACAATGTGACCTCACTTGACCTCAGTTGACATCACTCAGCATCGCTTGACCTCAGTTGACATAGGGTGTTATTTATTTAGTAAAGCATTGCTAGTTTTGTAAGTATTGTTATAAACCTTTGATTAGTGAAAAACCAAAAACAGAGTTTGTTCACCAGCAAGCCATAAGTGACGCAGATGGTTGCTATAGATTAAAATAGGTATCGTCTTGTGATTCATCCTCTTATGCCGCCACACACGTGACCTTAAGTTAATTACCTGACATCTACTGACAATCTTTGACAGAAAGTTACATTATACAGTTACTTTATTCGCAAGCAAATGTAATTCATTTTTTAAAACAAAGTTTAAGGCATAGCAAAACATGACCATTAACCAAAGTGCGAATGTACAAGTTAATTTCTGGTTGACAGTTACAGCTGCAATGTTTTGTTTGATTTCAAATTCTACGGTCATTTATTTATTTGAGGGGTTGGGTTGGTCTTACAGTATTTTGGAATATTAATTTTATTGGCCAGCTTTTGGCATCCATGAAAATAGAGGCATAGTTTTCAAGGGCCTACAGTGTACATGAATTTTTGAGAGTTAAACTGAATTTATTTATTTCTTACATTATAATAGTAACCAATGCCGCTCTCCTTTTTTAGCCCTACCAAAGTTCCACAACTTCATCAACACTAACTGAGACAGCACTGAGTCGACATGAGCAGAGTGAGACAATTGTGACTTTACCAGGACCCGGAAAACAACTCAATAGAATAACTGCTACACACAGGTTAGCACATTGCACTGCTGCCTGAGAGAATTTTGAAAGAAAATTACTTCACTGTCGTGATTGGCTGAGAGCAAGCCAATTTATCGCTACAAGAGGAAACACACTTATACATTAGATGGGCTCATATCCAGGGGGGCTTATATCCGGAATAATATCTTTGTTAGCAAATAGAAGGCTTATANACATGTCACAAGTTTGAACTTGGACAATTTCCCAGACATTACATTATTAAGAACTTGTGAATCTTGAATAATATCTTTGTTAGGAGATATAAGGGCTTATAACCGGGGGGCTTTAACATGAGATTTTACGGTACGATGATGAGGTAAGGTAAAATCTAATGAACGATAATTTTGATTACTTACCAGGCTTTTTTGATTACTTGTGAATTTCATGTTTTTAATAGGCTTTCTGTGCTTAGTGTCATTCTGCACCAGTATAACTCAAACATTGTCTACATGCCAGAGGCCTCTCATCACAGCTTTTGCATCATGGCATTAAGGTATCCCATCATACTTTTCTATTGATCGTCAGTATCTCAGTTTGCTTTGAACACCCAAATGTACTTTAAAAAATAATTGTACCTGTAGTAGAACCTTGTTATCTTGAATTCGGTTATCTCCCCACTATCTCAGATTGTTTCAAATTATTTGCCCTTGAATTATACTTTTCAGTCATTTAACTATCGGCTATCTTGAACTCTTGTTATCCCAAACTTTTTTTCATCTTCCTTGAGAGTTTGAGATAGCATGATTCAAGCTAGCCAAATTTTAGACCTTTCACTAACAGAGAGAAACCTCAAGTTTAGTGTGAAACTTGTTAAACAAGTTCAAGTCTAACTTTTAATTCAGTGGATCAAACTGTTAAATGAAAGCTATTAGGCAGTATTTTCGTGTTTATTATGCTGTATAAGATGTTGCAAACTTTCAAGTTTATAGATGAAGTCAAATAATGCTATTAGAATGATAATAATATACAATCAACAAATGTTAATTAAAATTCAAACTTTTTCGCAAAATGACACTTGAAATTTTCAAAAATTTTTCGTTGGTTTTGTGGTTCTTAAAAATAATCCTACCCACCCCAAGTATTTTAGTTAGGCGAAGTTAAATGTCAAATAAAAAAGACCCACCCCTAAGGAGGTTAGTTAAAATTTCAAGGGGGAAGGAGGTCTCAAAAGCCAAAATTTTAAAATTATGGAGAGTATGAATGAAAACTGGAATTTCCACGGGGATTGGTGGAAGTCAAACCAAAAAACCTCCATGGGAGGGGTTGATTGATATTTTCTGGTACAACACTTTAAACCTATTTCCAAACAGGCTGGCAAAATGTGGTTTTTACAAACTTTGCCAACGGAGTAAAGAAGAAATAGAATCTCATTTCTCAAGTGACGAGCTGTCAAGATTGGTGAACCATCCCAGGATAACACTAAGCACAGAGCTAATTCAGGAGATGACATATGGAATATATTTCCTGATGTAAGTTACTTTGAGGTCGGCACATACTAGGGGATCTGTTGCTGGGCTGTGAAGCTTAAACAAGCTCCTTCACTGTGTGCGTATAGGATGCATGTTGCAGGAACATGTCTTTTTCAGTGTGAAAAATGGTGAAAAATAAAATGTCCAGCTTACATGTCACGAGTGTGGAACAAAGACATTTATCTGGGTCCTCAACAGGATTCCATACTGGTTGAGCCCTCTGAAAATTGGAAAACATCTTTTCATAAGTTCCCAGCAACAATCATAGCCTCAATGGTAAATGGTGACAGTTTTGCATGATCTGGGAATCACAAACTACTGTACAAATTCAAGTTGTTTAACAATGTTGCACTTTCAAAACTGCCTCTAGTCAGCAGTATTTCCTCAAGACATAGTCAGGCGTTATATGTAAACTGTCCAAAAACCATGGGCATGTCATTTAGTGTCAAGTGGATACTCAAAAAGTGCCAGAAAACAATCGCATATTTGAAGAATTTGGCAAAAGATAATTATTTGCAACGTCATTTGGTCACAAATATAATTATTATATATAATATTGCTATAGGTACAATGGTCAAAGGACTCTTGCTACCAAGGCTCTGGAGGATCTCCACTGGCGTGCATCACACAGTCTGTTGGCTCCTGCTCATCTGGTGAGGGTCTAAAACTCATTGTTTTTATATTGATCCCATTTCAGAGGTCAGACACATTTATATTTTGGTATATTTTATTTTTTTACAGCAGCTGAAAGCTCACTTAAAATTACATACAAGTGAACTGCTGATGAAAGCAAGTTATAATAAAAATGTACTGCATTACAACCTTACAATCATGGTAATCTATACTTGAAGACAATCGTCTTGTAACACCTGCTAATTTCTGTCTTTACAGTGACTTCCTTTCTTCCCTCCTCCAACCCCCCCCCCCCTCTCCAACCCACCGTCTATATTTCATATTCCTTTCTCAAACTCATTAATATTCGTAATTCATCAACTTTAAACAGCGGAAATTGTGACTGTGACAGTGTTTGGATATCTGATCTTAATTAGCTTAAATTTTTACAATTATTTTTCTGTTTTTTCCTTAGTTTAAGTTTCAGTTGAGAAGATATATCAAATACTCAAGACCTTGTTTGACCACATTTCCAAATGTTCACCTCAGAGGACCTCAAATATATTCTGCTACTTGTTGTATTTTCGTCTATCGCGTTAGTGTTTGGAAATGTGGTCAGTCATGTTCTTTCATGTTTGATATATTGCTTCTCCTGAAATTGTGATCTGTACCTACTTGTGAACCTAATCTTGTTACTAACATTTTCAAACCCTGTTGCAAAAAGAAATCTCTGAATGATTATAGATGCGAATGCAGACATAACACTACTGGAATCTCTGAATGTTATCATGTTACATTGCTACTTTTAGCTGACTGATGCCATTAAACATTCAATGGATCAAACAGATGGCCTCCCCAGGGATGGTCCCCTAGGGCTGGAGATGTACTTGTCAGATACACAGACTGCCCAACCCATCAGCAGTAAGACTGTGCCCTCAGTCAGCGGCACTGTACCAGAAGCACCAGGTATATATTGCTCAGATGGGGATTCCTATGAGTCTTGTCTGGAAGCTATTGGTGCTGATGAGGGTGATAATGCTAGTGAAATCTACACTGATACTGTTGATGCATTTGATCATTCTAATGTTAAATACCTTAACACATGGTTATGATTTAGTATTCAAAAGCAATATTTAAACAATCATTCACCAAAGTGAAGGTGGATACTGGTTGAAATTTACTGAGCCACAAAGAGGCAAGGTGAATATCCACCACTTTCACAGACACTGAGGTGAATAATATACCACACAAGCTGAATAACTAGCTGACCAAAAAAGTACTTTTAACTATTTTTTGACAATTAATCGACAAAAGGGTGGAAATCTCAAAATCTTTGCCCAGAAGTGAATGATACTGTACTTTGCTTATCACCTCTGAGTGAACCAATCAGAATGCATGAATCTGAGCGCTATTCACTTGTGTGGAATATATACATAAATATTTTGTTTGCAAATTCCAGTTTTGTATGAAACTTGGAATAAAAATGTCTCAAATTCATTTGTAATTCATCAAGTTTTAAAAAGAGGCTTCAAGATCATAGCGGTGACAATGGTTCAAATTAGAATTGAATAAAAGCAATTTTGTTTCTTAGTTTTCTCCTTTGCATTTGAGACGATATATAAAAAAACTCGAGACAGTGTTTCATAATTTTCAAACATCTTGAAGTTGATCATCTTTTTTTCTCAAACTCATTAATAATTCATCAAGTTTAAGCAAAGGAAATCAAGACCGTGCTGGTGTCTGGATATCTCGTGTTAATATGTATTACTAACATAGATTTTTACGATATCGATTCTTTGTTTTCTCCTTAGTTTTAGTCTCAATCGAGAAGATAATATCAAACATGAAAGACCGTGTTTGACCCCATTTCCAAACACCAAGAAGAGAGTTGAAAATAAGACGTTATGCGTCATATTTTCAACCCTCTTCTCAGTGTTTGGAAATGTTGTCAAACAAAACACAGTCTTCATGTTTCATATATTGCTTCAACTGTCATCTCGTTGTTTGCGAATGTGATGAAACATTAACTCTTGCTTTTGATATATCACATCTGAGTGTATATACGTTGGGTAATTGCTGGACTTAGTTTCACGGGAGGAACTTCTGGTTTCTTGCTGTGGATTAGATGACAATTTTGTTATTGTTGAAATTTGAAATAATGCAATATTCACGAAATGAATGAACATGTACATCCATGCTTTCTACAAAACACTGTTTGAATAGATTGCATTAAGTTAAGTGTTGAACTAAATTATTTTAAAATAAAACTACATATTCTAATAACACTTGGTCTAAAAAGAACTTTAGAGTTGGATTAAACCTGATAAAAACTAGTGTGTGATAATAAAAATATATTATTTAATCATTCAATTATTTATTTGATGTGTGGAGTTACTATTGAATGTTAAGTCAAAAAAGGCAAGAGAATCTGTTCGGTGTAACTTATGTAAAATGTAAATAATTTAAAACAAAGACAACATAATACTTCTATGACCTGTCAGGCAAAGCTTAGTGAGACTTTCAAAATTGGAGGAATTTTTGAACGTAGGTAAACTGTCCTGGACGTTATCTACAGCAAATAATTGCAATAGTAATAATTATTATAGTACTAATTTATTTAACATTGTGACACATGGAGTGGTTGCCCATTCCCCTGAGCCGGGAACTCATGATAAAAGTGCTTCACGAAAAAAAACACTACTCAAGTTAAAAAATAATGTGAATATAATGACTACAATTAATTCATGTAGGTAGTAGGTACATGTTCAATGGTAGAAAGGTTCAGCATGGTTGGAAATAGTGAATAGACATGAAAAACTCTGTATGTATTTCTTTAATATAAATTGCACTGGGAAAAATAATTCCGCTCAAAGTCAGTAAGAGTCCACTCTGATCGTGTTTCTTGTGAGAGTGAGTCGATCTTCTTTCTCGCAAGACGTATCTCGTTTCTCAGTGAAAAGACAGTTTTGCTGCTCTGAAAAATGTAATTTAAAGATGTTGCTTGTAGGAGTGAAATATAATCATTTAATCACTGTTCATGTAGTTTGTGAAACTTTGTAAATAAATTGTTGAGTATCAAATAAAGTAATGTAAATTCTACAATTGTCTGTGCTTAGTACGTGGTATTTAAATAACGTAAAATAAAAATAATGTAAAAAAAAAACCTGTTCGTTTAAGTAAAATTGTGGAGTGTGACTTTTTTATCAAGTTGTAAAAAAATAAACCAAACTAACTAACAAACAAACAAACAAAAAAACAAAAGAAAAAACTCGTAGACAAACAGCAAGCAAAAAATTACGAGGTGTCTTCTTTAGATATTTAACAGAACTCCAGGGTTATTACCAGCCGCTGTTATTGAAAAGAACCCGCGCTCCTTTCCCGAAGAGGAGGAACGTCGACCGGATTTGAGAAAGCGCAGGGAATGGAGCTTAAACTCCAGATTCCCTCCAAGGCATCATTCCAAAAGGAATTATAGAGGCGATGTTGTGATGGTAGTTTTTTTCCAGCGTTGACCTCGAGACCAATTTGACATGTTGAAAACTAGTAGAGTTTTTAATGGCGAGATTTTGCAAGAAATTGAGAAAGTTTGGCTGTAGGAAACTCCCAGCCTAAATTTGACCAGTTAGTGTATGTAATAGTATTACATACCTAAGTTCAATTAGTAGAATTCTACTAGTATACTAATACAAATGCTGTAATCTGATTGGGTGAACCATTGCATACTATCAGCCATTGGTTTGCAGTGGCTTGGTGTGGTCGACAAAGTTCCAACGTTTCCTCGTTTCTCCGAAGTTTTGAAAGAACATTTAGAAACAAATGAATAAACAAAATTCCTAAGACTAAAAGGAGGGCATTTACGGTTTCTTGAATTAAAAGAGCGCGAAATTTTTGAAAGAAACTGATAAGCGCTTACTCAATTACAAATGTCAAATTGACAATTAATTCAGTCTGCGCGAGTTCTCTAAAGCGTGAATAGGCCCTTTGCAGCTGGGGTCGCGTGACCAAATTTTTCCTAAAAGATTTTTGTATTATGGGCTATAACTAAAAGAATGCCAGAAATGGAAAGAGCGCATCGAAAATACGAAAATGGCCAAGTTTGAGGCCCCAGTAAAAAACGAGTAAGTTTATACCATAGTTTGAATTTTCGGAAAATTTAGAGGATTCGTATGGAAAATGTTGCTGGAGAGCAAGGTCTTGCTCTCCAGCAACATTTTTCCATACAAATCTTCTTATTCTTTCAAAAATTCAGACTATCATAAAATCTCATTCTCTGATGATGGGGGCCTCAAACTTGGCCATTTTGATATTTTCGACATGCTTTTTCCATTTCTGGCATTCGTTAAGTTATAGCCCATAATTTTATGAAAAGTAGGTCACGTGATGGCTTAGCTGCAAAGGGCCTATTTTAATACTAAACACGAAGGTTGGGAGAATTCGAGACAGTTATGCAAATTGCATAACTTTCGAGAATTCTCCCAACCCTCCGAGTGTTCAGATGAGGCTGTGTAAACACGGAAAATGAGCTCTATTGCTTTTTTAAAATAATTCTCAAAAATACGCGCAAATCTAAAACGTCATAACCATGTTTACGTACTCTCATCTAAACACACCTATCGACCAATGAGAGCGCGCGTAGTAGCTCAGTTATTTTATAATAGCAAATAGCGTTAGTGTTGTAAGGAACGTTCCAATTGATTGCCATTGCTAGAAAAATAGTTTTACTGTGGTGACTTGTTTCTATGAAACATTGTTCAAAAGAATTGACCAACAATATTGGTTCGGTTGCCAGGGAAGTGGTTAAAAAATCCTTACTTTCCGAAAGTTCTTTTACTCTTGACGTCGCCTCGCGCGTTTACCGAGAATAGCGAATTCATTTATTTTTGAAATAGCTTGAACCGGAAACTTGCCGAAAGGGAACTAGGAGAATAGGCATTTCCCTGATACGGACCGAACAAGCTAGTTTAATATAACTTCTGTGTATACATGTTGTTTATTTTAGTGACTCCTGGAAAAATACTGGCTTTGAGTACAAGTGGAATGGAGGTAACTCGCCTCAACTATGAATTTCCAAAGGACAATGCTGTGGACATGGAAGATATTGAAGTCGAAGTTCATTCAAGGAAAGCCAGTTCTTCTTCAGATCACTCTGCTAAAGAAGCGAGCAAGTCGCACAAGAAGGCCAACAGCCTGGGGCATTTCAAGCTGCCTTTCTTGTCGACGAAGGAGCATATTGAACTTCAACCCATACAAGGGTCGACGAGGCCGAACTCCTCCGAATCACCACGAGTTGTTTTGTCGGAGGTCAATGTACCGTCGGAGAAATCCGAAGATGTCGAGTTACTCGCGACAAGTTTCAGCGACGAGGTTTTTGATCACAAATTATAAGACGTTTTCTCCTTAAGATCATTCGTTGACCAATAGTGTTAAAATATAATTTTTCCGTTCAATATCGACACATTGTCAAAATTACCACCAAATTTTTGAACATTAAATGAAAAAACAAAAAAAGGAAGAATGTAATCCGTAGAAAATTTAATTTCAAGTTTGCCACTGCATGGGTTTCTTAACTATAGCTTTCGTATACATTGTAACCAATACAGAGGTATTAAAAGTATGTTTTATAAAATTATTGGATGTACACATACATATGATAACATTGGTGTATAATATTAAGTCAAATCCTTCAGAATAAAGTGTGACCTTATGTGAAGCATAGCCGAGGGAATTGTTACATTTTAAATACCCTTTTGGTGCAATTCTTGCACTGGAGGAAGATTTTCCTAGAGTCAAAACGCCAGTGAAATGTTTCCACGTCTCGTGCTCGTTAAGTTTGTGGTCAGTCTTGCACTTGCCTATCATGAGTTTTTGGTTTCAAAACTTTGAAAATAAACTGTTCCAGATTAAAGTTTCTTTTATCATACCTTAAATGTTATCCTTTCCTTTCCCTGCGGCAAATCTGGTTAAAGAACCGTCCAATTTTAACAGCTAATAAAATTGCTTTAAGGATGACAAATTTGATGTGAGAACCGAATAGGAAACATGACGCGCGTGGTGCAGCGGCCGTGGTTTTGGCGCGAAAATTGGCCCACTTTATTGCCCAGGAGATCTCTTGCGTGTTGTGAACATATTTTTCCCGTCTGACCATCATTTCGTCATTGCCATTCTTCCAGTGAAGACGTCGTTATGAGGGCTGATTTAGACATCAAAGAAATAAATTAAATCACAAACTATTGTTCTACTCTTCGGAAGAACATGTTCGGTCGAGTGATAAGAAAAAGAAACGAAACCTCTCCTGGAGATGGCCTTTAAAGTTAACGGAAATTCTTGCCACTCAGTAAGCAAAACTTTTAAATGCTTGATTCTAAATTTGGAAGTGGAAAGTAAGCGATTATTATATCTCTCAGTTACTACGCATGCTGTGATTGGTCAATTTAGCGGACCGTATTCTGCTGTATACAGCTTGTATACGGTCCACTAAAATTTAACGCTGTTTTTGTTGCCAAATTGTTTCGCGATTTATCGAAAAGTGTTCTTAACTTTTCGAGCAAGTGAAAGTCTAACACGTTCAGTTACTTTAAATTGTATATTGCACGTAATGGCTTGTTGACTTTTTTTTTTTACCTTCTATGATCACAAGATCGTCTCGTGACGTCGAGCTACACCTGTGCCCAAACTCAATGCATACGGATGACCTTAA